CCAATGCGGCATCGCTTTTTCCGCAATCATCAGCTGGTCACGCACCCTATCTCCTGATGGCAAAGAACCAAGGGAAAAAAACGTCCGCACCAAAACAGAAGAGCGCAAACAAGCAAAGCAACAATAAAATAGGGCAGCAACAAACAAACAGGCACGTACACCTCCAGTAAACAACAGAGAGAGGGAGAAGAGGGGAGAGAGAGAAGAGAAATCGTCAGTGGATCCCTTGGAAAGGCATCGTTGCAGTGTCTCTTTCAGTGGAAGTTCAGATACCACAGGAATTGCACGTCTAGTCATCATGCAGTAAAAAAAGGCGAAAGAGGAGAGAGAAAAGTGGAAGCAGCGTGGGGCGGCAGTGGGTCTCTGCGCGCCGCTCGAGTGAGGCATTTTGTCTTGTCGAGTGAAGGTGGGGTCACACTGGCGGCAAGCTCATAGCCGTTAGTCGCAGTCATCACGTGCACTAGAAGAAGCCGTGCACAGTCCGTCCAACGCAGCCGCTGCTGTTGCATCCCCACGGAGCTGCAGATGTGTGGATTCATGAGTGCCTGCAGTGGATGCATCGAAGCACGCGCATCTCACAACACCTCACGCCAAAAACAAAACACAATGTCAAATTTCAACCAGCGCGGAGCGCCGTTTCCGTGCAGTGCTCCACATTCACCCTGGTCAGCGCCTGAGCAACCCCCCTTAAATAACGGTGACTCCACCAACAGACCGCTCAGAGAAGGCACAAGCAGAATTCCACTACCGCGGCCCTGGAACAAACCAAGATAAGGCCTGCCCGGTCAGAACTGACGCGCGGCCGCCAATGCATTCGCAACAGAACTCAAAGTGCCGTCGCCGCCACAGACAACAATGGCATCTGCCGCATCCGCGTGCAACTTGATGGAGTGCAAGATGTCTCTCCCCGGCACACGCACATCGTGGTGACTGATGCCTGCCCCGTCAAGGTACCGTTGAAGAGCGCTCGCAAACACCGAGGCCCCCTCCCTCGCCCCGCTGCGTGTGTTGATGATGGCAACGCAGCCTTTGAATCGACTCATGTTGCGCCGGACCACGCTGTGCACAAGGCCCCCGCCAAAAACACCTGCTGTTCCTTCTTCTACACTATCGGAGATGAAGGATGCGTACTGTCGGCATCGGGAAAAAAGGCCACTGTGGTGAGACAGACAAGCCACAATGGCGACGCGTCTCGTTCAAGAGACAGAAAAACGTGGGATGCGCACCGCCAATGCACACACACACACAGACAAACAGACACACAGAGAGACAAAAAAAAAAGGAAACACTTAAATGTGCTTAAAAGATATATACGTATTCTGCCTCTTGTTTGCCCCCAACAGAAGACGAGAAGCGCAAAAGGAATCTCGATACTTTATTTTTCTTGCTGTCGCTATGAACACTACGAATTTATTTCAATGATCAACGGCGAGTCAGAGGCGACTCCTCATTTCATCCAATCATCATTAATTACAAACGGAAAGAAAATGCTGAAAGCACCCTCCACCCGCCTCCCGCTCGCAGCGGAGTGGGTCGGGTCAGCTGGGCCTTCGGCACACACCCTTCGCGCAGCCTCCATAGTAATACATACAAAAAAAGACCACCATGACGGAATATTTTATACATTCCTAAGGCTCAACCACTCCTCTCGCAGTTTCCCAAAAGAAGAAAAAAACGACCAATAACAGGAATTTTTCTTTGGCCTCCGTAAAACGTCATGACCCCTCCGCTCAGTTGACCACTCGCCACAAAGATGTTCGAAGGAAAGATCGGTGTCACTACAAACATTGTCATCGTGTGCAGAGGAACTCTCGCCCGTGAAGTCCTCAGATCTTTTGGCGGCAGTGCTGGTGCAGAAGTGACCTCACGCTCCTTCGACGAGTGCGAAAAATACCGGCATTTAAAACAGCAACAGTTACGAACACAGTGAGAAACACGTGGAGCGGAACGGAGTCGTACCGCACCCCATCTCTGTGCCGCTGCTTTGGATCCTTGTATAATGGCATGGGCCTCCCCGGCCGGAAAAAGTACGAAGAGTTGCCGCCCTCATTAGTACTCGTTGAAATTGAGCTGGGGTCCCACTCATACCATTTACGGAGAAACACTGCCACCTCAGACTCGTCAAAAGCACCCAGTGAATTCCGGCAATTGCCGCATATTTCCGCGTCTGGGAACTGCCGCTTGGGCACGAACGGATCGGCCCCCTCCTTAACTGGCGCAAGTCGCGCGTTCACGCTGTTATGGGCTCGCCAAAGCTGTAAAACGGGGTCCTCATCCCGAGTGAAATTAAACTCCAAAAAGTGCTGGCGGCATTCTTCACACGAAAAGAAATAGCGCACATATTCTTGAATCGCTTCCAACGGGTTGGTGTCACCACCGGCATCGACGTTGACCGTGATTGAATGGTAGAGAAGCCACATCCCACACGGAAAGCCGCGATAGCTTGGGGACGAGCCCTTGCAAGTGCGCCACTGCACCTCATTTGGAGCTCCATAATATGGGATGCGGGCGGCAAGGACGGCTTCCTGCCAGCTCTCAACGGAGAAGCGCGTCCCGTTCTCAATTTCCGCCACCGCCTCCAGCAATGCGTCAGCACCAAGTCCGGGGAGGGCG